GCACAAAGGAGTGTCACAGGTAAGCTTGCTCAACTGCTTTTTACATCGTGGTCTCATTTCCGGACTCATGCATTTTGTGAATGAAGCCGAAATTTCAGTTAAAATACATAAGTAAAAATATTTATCCGAGTATAATACTACCTCCAACTTTATGGATGATTTTATGGATTTAATTTTACGTATTATACTTGAATAAATACAGTATCTGAAAAATATTTAGTTTTTTACCATTTATTTTGAGTCATTTAAGGTAACCTAAGTCAAACTATTCTGAATACTGTTTTATAAAAAAGACAAAAATAGGCAAACATCCAGCAGACGCTTTTAAGAAGGCAGATTTGGTGGCAGTTCCAGGTCAAGCCGCTCCTCTGAGCCGTGTCTTATAATGATCAGAGCTGTATTTCACTGCCATGCTTTCCCTCTTCAGCATGCTGACAGGTTTGAGAGCTGAGACTATGACGTTTTTAGCTGCTGTCTTCAATACACTTCTCAGCGCGCACTTCTGAGCCRTAACAGTGGCTGGAACAATTGTTCTGACAGCTTTCTCCAGCAGTGTCAGAGAATTATAATCAAAAGAAGAACAAAACAGTATCTCAAATAAAGCTTGACAAACTCTGCACATATGTGCATCTGCGCACGGTTACATGTTTGTGTTTTTAAGTCTTCAGTGTGCTTGAATAAATGCTGTTTTTTTTACTGTAAGTGTTCTTGTGAGAAAGTATGCAGATTTCAGCGAGCGTGCCCCTAAAACACTATTTTTACATCAGTCAGCGCACCATAGTTTTAACCACAAGTCTCTACACATCAATCCCCAGTGGCCTTTCTTCAGGGCTGAGTGTGGTTTTCCTTCGCAGTGACTGACCATGATCGTAATTGGACGAGAATGAACAGAGGTTCTAAGCAATATTCAGAAGCTACATGCCTTCAAGGATCTGCTGCTACGCAAACGAGCGTGAGGAACTTCTAAATTAAATTGCGCAGTAAAAAAAAGGGATTATGACATTATTTGGCCTACTTTGGAGAAAACAAAATTAATTCATAAGGATCAACAAGGGCTTGGAGAAAGCATGTGTGCATGGGTCAGTAACTGTGTGTACCTTTTCATAATATTGTAGCTCGTAGTCTAAGATGACTCCATTAGGCTGGTCTGGTTGGGACCAGGAGAGGGTGATGCTGTCCACAGTGCGACTGACCTGATGCATTATAGATACAGTGGATGGAGCTGCGGAAAGACAAAAGGCAGTGTGTTAACTGTGAGGCAAATAAATCAGGCCCATCTCCACTGTCATGCTCCGAGAGTTTTACAGCATCTTTAMTCACACAGTCAAACTCTGGCTTCAGCAAATCTCATAAAATCTACAGTATACAATGTTCTGTAGCCTCCTGTTAGGGCTTCGTGGCCAGGCATGCAGGGCAGACTGGCAAGTCRCAACGCTGGCTAAACCACATAAGCAGTCTCACGGGACTTCCCAAGATAAACTGTGACTTTGATGAGATTAATTTACGCTTGTCATGCTGTTGATAACAGACCACTTTCTACAAATTACTCATTTGAGAATCACCAGACCACCATGTTAATACATGAAGGAAAGTGGATTTTGTCACGCATGTGGACTAAACAAGTGGAATAAATCACACCAGCCGCAGAAATGCAGCACAACTTCGTGCATCTTGATTTTTGTCCTCTGCATCCAAACTAGGTTATTCATTTGTTTGTGTAATGCTAAAATGAAAAAGCTGTGGTGTCCTTGCA